ATCAAATATATCACACTATAATTAAAATTATAATCAAGTACTTTACATGTGCTTTACTATGTGTACATCTTTAAAACACGGCAAAAGATTATTAAAACATACTTTGAAGTAAAACATTTAACTCATCATTATTACAAAGCGCACTATTTAAAATGGTACTTAAGTGTGTTAAGAAACATAGTCATAAAAAATGTTGTCTCTTTAAGTACCGTACATTTAAGTGGCCTTTACTTCATTAATATCATATTATCTGCAAGTACAATTTTTTTTAAATATACTTTTACATTTTTAAGTACACTAGAAGTGTATAATCAATACAATTAAGTGCACAATTGTTTTTCACGATAGGATGCTAACACCAAACTCTAACTGTAAATGTTACAAAGCCATTGTAAAAAAAGTTACAAAGTAATACGTGATGTTTACAGTGTAAATGTGGCCAATGCGATGGTTAATATGTGTAAGAAAGGAAATATAACTGCAATTCAGTATGCAAACATTATAATGACATCATGATGGTTAGCACACCGACAGATAAAATTATCTACAAAAGTTTGAATGAAGCGAGTCTGTGTTAAATGGTTGGAGCTGATTAGGTGCAGAAAAAGAATAATTAGAGCAACTTCAGTAAAGTACCACTGCCTTGCAAGAATTCTAATAAAAATGTTTGTGCGAATAATGACAGTGATGATGATGATGAAGCTCAAAGGCACACACTGACCTCCAGATAGAGTTTCTGCCCTGGAGGATGACGCCAGTAAAGAGTGTTGGTCTGAGAGCGTTCAGCTGCAACCACTGTTCCTGATCCTCCACCCCAGCACACCACGCTCCGTCATACTCATCGTCATCCTCCAGACCAGACTACAAACAACACACGTATGCAAATTCACAACATGCTACATCAAATCTACCTTCAAAATCTTCTTAAACAAACACACAGTGGGCTGACCTGTATGTTAAGGCGTCCTCTGTGAGGACCAAGCCCAACGCTCAAATACGATGAAGACTCCAACTGATCATCAGAGACTTTCAGAGACTCCAAACCCAGCGGTGGACAATCTGATAGATTGAGATTGAGACAAACAAATTTAAGACTGATGAACAGTTACTTATTATTAAGCCAGAGAGGAGCCTGAGAATGTTTAGGAGGAGGATAACATTGACTCTATGAATCACATGGCAGTTCACTCTTAAAAATAAAGGTTCTAGACGGTTTTCACAGCAGATTCCACAAAGAACCTTTCCATGAACATTACTTAAAAGAACCATTTTTTTTTAAATGTAAAGAACATTTTAATAATCTAAAGAAACTTTTTCCACTATAAAGAACCTTTTGTGCATTTGAAAGTTTCCATGGATGTTAAAGGTTCTTCATATATCTATTGATGCCTAAAAATAATCTTTATTTTTAAAAGTGTAGGGAACAATTTTTCTCTCTCTCCAAAGGGTTTCATGTAGTGCTCTTTTGAAATTACTTCAAGAAGTAAACATCTTCTTCTTGTGGGAATGCAGGAATGCTGAGCCAACAAATGTCTCATTGATTCACTGTTATTGCTTAAAACAAAGGCTGGTGAATCAGCATCACCAGAATAAGCATTTGTTGCTCAAGCATTCATATATTCCCACAAATTCTTGACCTAATTTCCCTTAAAGTATATAGTATATATTAAACAAACGTGATCAGGACTTTTTTTATTTTTATTTTTGCAACACAAAAAGTAAAAAGTTATGCATTGTATATAATAACTAACATTAAGTGAAAAAGTATGTGCTGAATAAATTCTAATACTAATATATACTGAATAGACACTCTTGACTATTGGAATAAATATTAGTATGAATAGACACTAGTCAAATATTAGACAACTTAACTTCAGTTTACCCAAAATGGGTGACTTTCTGAGTGGTTTTCTTTCTTCTGTGGAACACAAAAGAATGTTACTGAATGTTACTGTTTTGAAGAATGCTGGTAACCAAACTGTTTTGATGACTACCAACTTCCATTGTACAATAATAATAATAATAATAAATAAATAAAAACCTGAGACATTTCTCAAAATATCTTCTTTTATGTTCCACAGAAATACATTTCACTGAACTATCACTTATAATAGATCACAGTTATTTTTAAGGCATGTTATAACTGCGTGACATAAAGGACATTTAAAGAAAATTGTTCTGAATTTACTTCCCTCAACTCTTGACTGATCATGAACTCGCCTGGTTTTGCTCCATGGGTCTCTTTGTTCATCTGTTCTCCATCTTCACTGGCATTCCTCTGCGCCTGAGTGTGGTTTTCATCGGTTTTTGCTGTGTCCAAACTTTCAGTAACATTCCCAACCAGATTTAACATTGACTTTAAATCATTAGATTCAGATTTGGTAGCATTATTATTGACTGTCTGGTTTTCAAATGAAAGACAGGCATGTGCAATGCAAAGTATTATTGCAGCACAAACGTGTACTCTTTGCATAAGCATTTTCCTTCTCTAATAACCTATATTCGTGTCCAAGACTCCAAGCAGAATTTAAAAGTCAGATATTGGAAGAACGCCCCGTAACTTAACACCAGACCGCCGCCACTACCGTATATTGTAGAATAGACGCCGTGTCAACACAAGCATTAACCCTATAAAGTCTGCTGTATCATATTTGACCATTTGACACATTATTTCTAAGGCCTCTAAATTATCAACATGATCAAAACTTCATACTTTTTTGGTAAGTAAAGAAAAATAATAACTTTTCTGTTATGTTATGTTATGCTATTTATTTACTTGTTTATGTTTAGGCCTATTTATTTAGAAAAATCAGGTTACGATTTAGCCCATGTCAAATATAATAGGGCCAACTCAAATATAATCTCAAATATATTTTGACCCACACAATTAAAACTAAAGTGCTTTGATTAGAAAACTAAGCATTTAAATATTATCATATTATATTATGATTTTTGGGACATTGAGGACAACTGCATAAGTCTGATACTGTTATAAAAGTGTCAATATCAGAAATTTGTCTTAATATTTGGTCATATAGGATAAGTAACAGCATCTGCACTAAATTGCATATTTTTTGTATTTTGAACCTCTAAATAAAATGGATTTGTTATTCCATCAAAAAAAACAACTGTTTTCATATGTCAGGCTTTACAGGGAGTCGTTTATGTTTTCATGTTTATACTGCTAGTGTGGTCACAGGTGTGTCACGTGACTTCTGCCATATTCACATCACGTGTGTAGGCATGCTGAACACTTTCTCGGAGCTCGTAATCCAGTCAGTGGCATCGCGAGGGGAGCGCGGTAAAGTTAGAGCAGGGGTATCAAACTCAATTCCTGGAGGGCCGGAGCCCTGCAGAGTTTAGATTCAACCCTAATTAAACACACCTGATCCAACTAATCAACTCCTTCAGGCTTATGTGAAATCTACATGGTATGTCTGTTGGAGCAGGGTTGGAACAAAACTCTGCAGGGCTCCGGCCCTCCAGGAATTGAGTTTGACACCCCTGAGTTAGAGGTTCGATATTCACAGGACATTCGCTTTCCCTGGCCACTGTTCTACAGAGTCGACAGTCCTACAAAGAGATCACTACCACGATTAGTTTGAACGATATGCAACCACTTATATCGACATGAAAATAAATAAATAAATAAATAATAATAATTCAAAACAGAAAAAAAAAATACTGTAATTCACCAATTAAGGTTTTTTCATATTCCAAAATTTGTAGTATAGCCTACCTATTGGCCAGACTGACTTACTAGGCCTACAGGTAAAATTTTGCCAATATCTCCCTTACTGTAGCCTACATACAGCACATAAATATTCTTAGAAAAAAAACTTACTGTAATTTACTAAAAGTGTTTTTTAATTTTTCCGAAGGTTGTAGTAGCCTACTTTCCAAGATACAAGGCTTACTTAGGTGAGATTTTGCCAATATCTCACTTATGTACAATACACAAATATTTTTTAGAAATAAAATAACTACAGTAATTCACCAAAAGATTTTTTTAATCAAAAGATTTTGCCAATACCTCCCTTCATATATGTACAGTATACAATTATTTAAAAAAAATGACTGTAAGTCCCCAAAAGGGATTTTTCATGTTCCAAATGTTGTAGTATAAAATGCTTGTGTAGCCTACTGTACACACAATAAAGGAGGTATTGGCAAAATTTCACCTGTAGTAAGTCAGTCTTGTAACTAGGAGTGTACTACAACATTTGGAACATGAACAAACACGTTTGGGGACTTACAGTACTTTTTTCTAAGGATATTTGTGTAGGCTACTGTATGTACAGTAAGGGAGGTAGGCTATTGAAAAACTCTCACCTGTAGTAGCCTAAGTCAGTCTGGTCACTAGGAACATACTACAACATTTACAACATGAAAAAACACTTTTGGTGAATTACTGTAATTTTTCTGAACATATTTGTGCACTGTACATACAGTAAATGAGGTATTGAAATTTCACCTGCAGTACGATAGTCCGTTCACTAGGAACGTACTACAACCTTTGGAACATGAAAAAACTTATTTTGGTAAACTATTGTAATTGTTTTCTAAAAATATTTGTGTACTGTAGGCTACATAGCCTACTTATGGTAAGTATTGTCTAAGGCGAGATATTGGCAAAATATATTCAGTCAGTTTGCCCACTAGGCATTCACTATAGCCCTGTAAACATTAATTTGAATGAATTATTGGACTTAGTGTTTTATCCACATGTAAGGTAAACAAATAAATGACTTTAAATTAAAATAAAGCATAAAAGATGTGGTCAAATATCCAGAACATAAATAAATAAATAAATACATGAATAAATAAATAACCCGAAGGCCATTAAAACGTTTCTAGTGGTATTTTTGGGACATTGTAAGAATTTAAATCAGTCTCATTTACTCGTATGTTTTTGTTTTGTTTTGTTCTGCTGTCTCCACTGTCTAAAACTAAACGCCTCTAGTGGCCTTTTCCGGGAACTACATCACTCGCTCCTCCCACCTACAGATGGCGGCTTCCCACAAACACAACAGCGCTTTCATCATGGCGTGTATCGAATAAATTTCTACAATGGCTGGTACGCATTGCATATCATTTTGTTGTAAGGCTTATATTACATTTTACTCTTTTTCAGAACTAAACGGACGCGTATATGGTAACGTCTCCGCCATTCACGCGGTTTGACAGCTAGTAAATTGTGGTTTACTTGTGTACTTGCAAAATTGACTATGTATATATAACATTTTGTCAGAAATAATCAAGTAAACGCTCCTTTGTAAAGTAAATGTTTTGATTTGAGAACTTGTTTTCGTTTGCCTGTGTAGTCGGTCAAGCCTCGTGCATTAAGAGCATTATGGTAGCCAGCGTCTTACGATTGACGGTCGCCTTTCTGTGTAACGTTAATTGATTGTTTAAGGATTTGTCATAAAACATTAAGAACTTCGGCTAAAACTACCTAGTTCGATGACTTGAACTGTTGCCAGTAGTTTCGTTTCTCAAGACTAACGTTAGCATACTAGCTGTTCTGTTCCCGCCCATACACATTTCAGTTACAAAGTACAAATAGTGAAAGTCAGCACAAATGGGAGGATTGCGGTGGAAGTAGGTATTTCCTTCCCCCCCCCCATTTCCTTTTCCAAGACAAACAGCTAAAGTTTTCTCCATTGTTTTTATTTTTTACAGACACACGCCCACCTGATGGAAAAACTGGAAGCATGTAGTACAGGTCTGATGAATGTCATCTATTACTGTCATCTATTTCTGCAGAAGTACTGTAATATGTGGTGTGTATTGTAATGGCAGAGACTTCACAATACAGGATTTGGTTATGTAAACAAATGCTAGTTTTGCATGCACACATGCAAGTTCACTTGTTTTAACACTTGATACATGCGTCTCACTTTGTACAGATCACTCAGAAGACTTTTTAAAGACACCTATCTGTGTTTCATCAGTATAAAATGTCAAGTTTCCTCAAGCAGCACATCACCTCTATGGGTGAGATATGTGGGATATACTGTACAGGGATGCTTGGTGTGTTGGGCTGCTGTTGATCTGTTTGTAAGCTTACTGTGGTATGGCACAATGGCAATATTAGATACATTGGCTTGCAGATTTTCTGCCCTTATTGTCTAGGCTGGAATGCATTGTACGACTCTTGAAAATTGCAACAGCTTAGCCATCATACACTAAACGACTGACAAATTAAAACAATGTGTTCTAAAATCAGACCAAAATAACAAACATGCTTGATCCTCAGATTGGATGGAATAATAGTCTGAAGCTACAAATCGGACTCTGCGCCCATCATACACTGTGATTTTCTCCGACTGCCCAAAATCTGCAGACTGTGTGTTTTTTCTTTACTTTTAGTGAAAGAATTAATTCCACTTGGCGCTCCACGACGTGACAGTGTAGATGCCACGCCAACCCTAATTAAACACACCTGATCCAACTAATCAACTCCTTCAGGCTTATGTGAAATCTACATGGTATGTCTGTTGGAGCAGGGTTGGAACAAAACTCTGCAGGGCTCCGGCCCTCCAGGAATTGAGTTTGACACCCCTGAGTTAGAGGTTCGATATTCACAGGACATTCGCTTTCCCTGGCCACTGTTCTACAGAGTCGACAGTCCTACAAAGAGATCACTACCACGATTAGTTTGAACGATATGCAACCACTTATATCGACATGAAAATAAATAAATAAATAAATAATAATAATTCAAAACAGAAAAAAAAAATACTGTAATTCACCAATTAAGGTTTTTTCATATTCCAAAATTTGTAGTATAGCCTACCTATTGGCCAGACTGACTTACTAGGCCTACAGGTAAAATTTTGCCAATATCTCCCTTACTGTAGCCTACATACAGCACATAAATATTCTTAGAAAAAAAACTTACTGTAATTTACTAAAAGTGTTTTTTAATTTTTCCGAAGGTTGTAGTAGCCTACTTTCCAAGATACAAGGCTTACTTAGGTGAGATTTTGCCAATATCTCACTTATGTACAATACACAAATATTTTTTAGAAATAAAATAACTACAGTAATTCACCAAAAGATTTTTTTAATCAAAAGATTTTGCCAATACCTCCCTTCATATATGTACAGTATACAATTATTTACATATAAAAGATCCCTGGAAAGGGTTTTTTCATGTTCCAACGGTTGTAGTACGTTGCTAGATACAAGACTAACTTACTACAGGTTAGATTTTGCCAATATCTCCCTTATGGTATGTTCAGTACACAAATATATTTTTTAAAAACTACAGTAATTCACCAAAAGGGTTTTTTCCATATTCCACAGGTTGTAGTACGTTGCTAGTTACAAGACTGACTTACTTCATGTGAAATTTTGCCAGTATCTCCCTTACTGTATGTACCATTCACAATTATTTAAAACAAAAAATCTGTAAGACCCCAAAAAGGATTTTTTGTACAGTATACAATTATTTAAAAAAAATGACTGTAAGTCCCCAAAAGGGATTTTTCATGTTCCAAATGTTGTAGTATAAAATGCTTGTGTAGCCTACTGTACACACAATAAAGGAGGTATTGGCAAAATTTCACCTGTAGTAAGTCAGTCTTGTAACTAGGAGTGTACTACAACATTTGGAACATGAACAAACACGTTTGGGGACTTACAGTACTTTTTTCTAAGGATATTTGTGTAGGCTACTGTATGTACAGTAAGGGAGGTAGGCTATTGAAAAACTCTCACCTGTAGTAGCCTAAGTCAGTCTGGTCACTAGGAACATACTACAACATTTACAACATGAAAAAACACTTTTGGTGAATTACTGTAATTTTTCTGAACATATTTGTGCACTGTACATACAGTAAATGAGGTATTGAAATTTCACCTGCAGTACGATAGTCCGTTCACTAGGAACGTACTACAACCTTTGGAACATGAAAAAACTTATTTTGGTAAACTATTGTAATTGTTTTCTAAAAATATTTGTGTACTGTAGGCTACATAGCCTACTTATGGTAAGTATTGTCTAAGGCGAGATATTGGCAAAATATATTCAGTCAGTTTGCCCACTAGGCATTCACTATAGCCCTGTAAACATTAATTTGAATGAATTATTGGACTTAGTGTTTTATCCACATGTAAGGTAAACAAATAAATGACTTTAAATTAAAATAAAGCATAAAAGATGTGGTCAAATATCCAGAACATAAATAAATAAATAAATACATGAATAAATAAATAACCCGAAGGCCATTAAAACGTTTCTAGTGGTATTTTTGGGACATTGTAAGAATTTAAATCAGTCTCATTTACTCGTATGTTTTTGTTTTGTTTTGTTCTGCTGTCTCCACTGTCTAAAACTAAACGCCTCTAGTGGCCTTTTCCGGGAACTACATCACTCGCTCCTCCCACCTACAGATGGCGGCTTCCCACAAACACAACAGCGCTTTCATCATGGCGTGTATCGAATAAATTTCTACAATGGCTGGTACGCATTGCATATCATTTTGTTGTAAGGCTTATATTACATTTTACTCTTTTTCAGAACTAAACGGACGCGTATATGGTAACGTCTCCGCCATTCACGCGGTTTGACAGCTAGTAAATTGTGGTTTACTTGTGTACTTGCAAAATTGACTATGTATATATAACATTTTGTCAGAAATAATCAAGTAAACGCTCCTTTGTAAAGTAAATGTTTTGATTTGAGAACTTGTTTTCGTTTGCCTGTGTAGTCGGTCAAGCCTCGTGCATTAAGAGCATTATGGTAGCCAGCGTCTTACGATTGACGGTCGCCTTTCTGTGTAACGTTAATTGATTGTTTAAGGATTTGTCATAAAACATTAAGAACTTCGGCTAAAACTACCTAGTTCGATGACTTGAACTGTTGCCAGTAGTTTCGTTTCTCAAGACTAACGTTAGCATACTAGCTGTTCTGTTCCCGCCCATACACATTTCAGTTACAAAGTACAAATAGTGAAAGTCAGCACAAATGGGAGGATTGCGGTGGAAGTAGGTATTTCCTTCCCCCCCCCCATTTCCTTTTCCAAGACAAACAGCTAAAGTTTTCTCCATTGTTTTTATTTTTTACAGACACACGCCCACCTGATGGAAAAACTGGAAGCATGTAGTACAGGTCTGATGAATGTCATCTATTACTGTCATCTATTTCTGCAGAAGTACTGTAATATGTGGTGTGTATTGTAATGGCAGAGACTTCACAATACAGGATTTGGTTATGTAAACAAATGCTAGTTTTGCATGCACACATGCAAGTTCACTTGTTTTAACACTTGATACATGCGTCTCACTTTGTACAGATCACTCAGAAGACTTTTTAAAGACACCTATCTGTGTTTCATCAGTATAAAATGTCAAGTTTCCTCAAGCAGCACATCACCTCTATGGGTGAGATATGTGGGATATACTGTACAGGGATGCTTGGTGTGTTGGGCTGCTGTTGATCTGTTTGTAAGCTTACTGTGGTATGGCACAATGGCAATATTAGATACATTGGCTTGCAGATTTTCTGCCCTTATTGTCTAGGCTGGAATGCATTGTACGACTCTTGAAAATTGCAACAGCTTAGCCATCATACACTAAACGACTGACAAATTAAAACAATGTGTTCTAAAATCAGACCAAAATAACAAACATGCTTGATCCTCAGATTGGATGGAATAATAGTCTGAAGCTACAAATCGGACTCTGCGCCCATCATACACTGTGATTTTCTCCGACTGCCCAAAATCTGCAGACTGTGTGTTTTTTCTTTACTTTTAGTGAAAGAATTAATTCCACTTGGCGCTCCACGACGTGACAGTGTAGATGCCACGCCACATCCTGTGTCAGGTAGTCTACGTCTTGAACCTACTGCGAAGACTCCAAAACTCTTGTGCTCACTGCCTAAATGTATCCCGCCCACTAAAAACCCTGAGCTGGAACAGAGGGACAAGTCCACTTCAGCTGCACTCAAAGCCTCCAATAAAAGACCACATCAGGATAGTATTCTGGATTGCAAAGTTGTTATGAGAAAACTACAACCAAATAATGGCAACATTAACTCCAGGAAGGATGGCTCTCTCAATCCCACGGTTAAAAAGGACACTCTGCGGAGGACCAGTTCTTACAACAGAGACAGAGAAATTTATTTTGCTCTCAGTAAGGAGCTGAATGAAAACTTGAGGGTAAATGCAACTATAATTTTTTTCTTAATGCATTTCTATCAGTATTCTAATGCAGGGATTCCCAAACTTTTTTGTCAGCCAAATTGAATTAGGTCCTTTGACAAATTGGATACGTTTTATTCTATGCAATAGCAAGATATAACTGTTGAAATACTTTAGAGCTGAGCATGAATAGAAAACAATTAAATGCAAAAATTGCCATAACTTTTAATATTTAATTAATTTCCACGACTTTACATCCTGAAGAACCCAATAATTAATTAAATCATAAACTTAAACTTTAAAGTGAATAAATAATTGCTGCACCTCCTGAGATTTTAAGTTAATATTTCAAGAATTTAACAACACATTTGCATGTCCACAATTCTCTGATGTCGGTTAATGGTCACATGACATGCAGGTAAACAAACAAAATATTTCATATTAATATATATTAATAATTAAGATTGTTCTTTTCTGTGAATCGATCAAACGGGTTCTCAGATCAATCTGAATGACTCATTAATGCATCTGCCATAATCAAAGATGATTTTTTTTTAAATGACTGGAAAGGCCAAAGTACTGGAAAGTAATTTCTCTAAAAAAAGTGGGAACCATGTCAATTAGATTGTTACTACAGTCATGATTGTTATAGCTTGCGGTTGGTGTCTGCTTATTTGATACTAACTTCATGACCATTAATCCACTGATGTTCTCTGTTCAGGTTGGAGGAGGTTTGTTTCAGTCAGATGCTGTGAAAGGCCAGAGACATTCTCTTCCTCATACATCCCACTCCAGGCGTAACCCTGAGAGCAGTAGTTCCTGCTTATTCCAGCAGAAACCCGAAGCGTCAGTTAACACAGGGGAGCGATTCATCCACCATCCTGATCAGAAAAAAGATAGACTGGAGAATAGAGACCACAAAACCTCTCATTGTAGCAACATGTCCTTACAGAAGGTACAGTTCAAGCTCTACATTTTTGTTCAATAATTTTATGATGTGCCACATTTTTTCAAGTGACTGCATGTTAAACAGGTTTTCATCTATTTTCATTGATTGTGTTACAGGAATTAAGCACCCCTCACCACAAGACTAGTCCAGGTATGGAGTTATTACCCTTTGTTTTATTACTGATCTCGCCCAGTTTTTTTTATTTTATAACTTTTGAAACTAAACTGTTTCTCTTTCTATATCAAATACTACTTTTTGCCAACAGAGGGCAGGATGTCTCTATCTGCAAAGAGAAAAAGGGAGGGTAGTACAGACAGTGAGAAGGAAATTAAACGGCCGTGTGTTGATTTCCAACCCACCTCGAGCTCTTCCATTATAAACTCGCCTTTAAAGTTCGTCAAGAGTGCTTTTGTGAAGTCCAGCAATGAGTTTGTGATAACTATAAAGGAGAAAGAATCCCCTAAACCGCTTCCTGCCGCACCAAACAGCAACAACAAACCGAGACCTCCGCCTTCCATCACCAGGCAGCTCTTTGAACCATGTAAGGACTCAAATACAGGGAACGACAAACCTCATTCATTTCAACTCGGTAAATCACCCACGACTGCAGAGCCTAAAGATGCTATGGTGGCACGAGCCAACAAAAATCCCAGAGCTCCACCCAGCCAACCGCATTTGCGCAAAGTCTCTCCGAAGTCGAGCACAACGTTCGACAGTATCGAGACCCTCTTTACTCCAGACTGCTGCTTACCATCGCCAAAAACTCGTAACAAAAAAACAAATGCTGAGAGAGAAGCTTGTACAGTCTCCACACACACAAGCCCCACTTCTGACCATAAGGAGAGTGTTAAAATTCACTTGTCCCCTCATCATCCTGATCTAAGATCACCCAGCTTTGCAGAACAAGCCAGTTCATGTAAGATGGAAACGGATGAAAGAACACAGTTGAAAGTGGAGCAGTCACGCAGCCCCAAGGCTATCATGCCTGCCCCAGCTGTTTCGGTGAAAGAAGAATCAAGAGAACAGAAGTGCTGCCCCCAGTGGAAAGATCCCTTAGATATTGAGCTGGGAGACGACTCTGGCGATGAGCTGAGAGAACACTGCAATATCAGCCTCAGCAGCAGCAGCAGTGGTCATGAAGATGATCCGCTGCCATCTCTGGAGAAGCTGATGAGTCGGAGAGACCATGTGCCGGTTACTCCCGAAAAAGATGCTTTCTCAGAACCCAACACACCCATCTCAAAAGCAGCAGTAAGTTTAAGGATGTTCATAAAACATGTCATGACCTCATGTGTCATTAATTGCTCTTTGGCATGCCTGATTTTCACAAACTCTTATGTTTCTTTTCTTTTTTGTTGTTCATCTGTATTAGCCCGAGGCAGTGAAAACCAAAGCCGTTAGTTATAGAAATACACTAGAGCAGATGCTGCAAGAGAAGGAACAATATCAGAGGTTGGTCTAAAAACCTGATTTGTCCCCCACCCCCACCCCCCCAACTTCATTCCCAGCACGTCTCATTTTGTGCTTGGCAGCCCTTGGATTGTTGTAGTGCTTTGGAAATCAATGATTGAGAGGTCAAAATCTCAATGTTGACAGCTTTTATTAGTGGTGTTTACTAAGGCAAGCATTGCTATTAAAAGGATAATTCACATAAAAATGAAAATTGTCATTATTTACTCACACTCGTGTTGTTCCAATCCCATGCGACTTTTGTTCATCTTGGAAAAACAGATTAAGTTTTTTTTAATGAAATCTGAGAGATTTCTGTCCCTCCTTTGAAAGTCCACACCAAAATTTGATGCTCGTAGAGATCGTGAAAGTAATTCATGTGAGTCAAGCAATTGATTCTAAGTCTTCTGAAGAGTCAAGATTGCTTTATATTATAACCAGGTTTAATTCAGACATTTGAATCTGAATATAAATACTGTATATAATAGGGCTGGGCGACATAGCTAAAAAAATTATCAATGATATAATGTTTCATATCATTCGGTATCGATAATTATTTACATTTTTATAATCTTTTTTTAAAACAAAAAGCAATAGAATTATTTTTTTTTTTATTTAACCACTGTATTTATAATTAACATAATTTATTGAGACAAACAACAAATATCTATATAAACACTGATAAACACACATACATAAAGCAAATCAAATATGTGACCCTGGACCACAAAACCAGTCTTAAGTCGCTGGGGTATATTTTTTGCAATAGCCAAAAATACATTGTATGGGTCAAAATTATAAATTTGTCTTTTATGCCAAAAATCATTAGGATATTAAGTAAAGATCATGTTCCATGAAGATATTTTGTAAATTTCCAAAACTTAATTTTTGATTAGTAATATGCATTGCTAAGAACTTCATTTGGACTACTTTAAAGGCGATTTTCTCAGTATTTTAATTTTTTTGCACCCTCAGATTCCAGATATTTAAATAGTTGTATCTCGGCCAAATATTGTCCTATCCTAACAAACCATACATCAATGAAAAGCTTATTATTCAGCTTTCAGATGATGCATAAATCTCAATTTTGAGAAATTGACCCTTATGACTGGTTTTGTGGTCCAGGGTCACATATGGTAAACATAAGGTCAACCGTACTTGCTTGATGCGTGAGAACAAACCTCATTTGTTCCCGCACGTCAAGCAAGCACGTTTGAGCATCCGTTTACTATATTTGATCTTCATTTGTGTTTTGAACATGTAACAACATGAGGACATGATGAGTCGGTGATCTATTCCTTTGAATCAGCCTTTACATTGCTTACATTTAGGATTGTGCACTTTTTGAAAGTATTGGCTCTATGGACTACAGACATGAATGAGAACTCAAATTATGTGACTTATTGAGGGGAAGTCTGCTGTTACTTTAATTTTAAGTTTGATACCTTGTTTGCTTCAGAAAATGTGAAAGTGTAGTCCTAATTCACCCTTGGCATATTAATGCAAGGCATTCTGGCTGACAGTAACACTTTGGGTGTGTAAAATTGACAGATTGTTGTTTATTCCGACTGTCAGTCTCACAGACCTGTGATTATGCTATGGCAGAATTTGTTGAGACAGAGCCTGCAGTCTCACCCTGAGAAATGTCTAATAATGACTGGACACACTTAGTTTTTCATTTGACTACACAGGTCAAAAGAGTTGGAGAGACAGTTACTTGAGTCATGTGAAGAGGATCTGCTGAATTTATATGAGGATGAGAACAGTGAAAGTAAAGAGGAAGACATCTCACTTGAGCAAAGGTATTTTGTCCATACTGTAAATAGCGGGTTTCATTCACATCATTTGTTTTTTTTAAATACAATCTTTAGTAATGACTGTCTGCACCAATTCAAACTACATTGAAGCCTATTGATGTTTTAAAGTAGATTAAGGCAGTCAGTTTAAATAATATAGTTTGGAGTTTGAATATATGTGCATGAATATAGTTTGATTATATATGCTATTTCGTGTTATGTAGAATATTGTCAGCCTCTTGAAAATGTATCATTAATCTGAAAATGTTTTTGTTTAATTTTTAGAGAATTTTTGCAAAGGTTCTCGGTCGCCTCATGTGCCATCAGGGACATCCACCCAGGAGAGGAAGTATTCTTACCTGCTAGGTTTGGTCGACTCTTCAACCACCAGACGCTGGACCTGAGGAAGATTAGTGTGACTCCGCATAACAAATCACAACAAATCCTCCTTCAGTAAGACTGCCAGCACTCTGTTTGCGAACACAAGTCATTTTCAGTTTTCTCTAGCTTTCAGTTTTTGCTTATGATAAAAGGTGTTTAAATATTATGTCAAGTGTCTAAATGTGCTAATTTTTGAAATGTGCAAAATGAACAAATTGATTTAATCCTTCCATTTTAGTAATAGATAATACCTGTCTGTTGACACCTTAAACCCAATATCAAATGTAGTTTCACACAGTGAGTTCACTTCTCAAAGAATTGAGTAATATAGGAGATGCATCAATGATTAGTTAATTTGCAAGGCTTGGTGGTTTTTGTTATTAATATTCTTTATTGCGCTTTGCAATATGAGCTTTTTGTTTTCTTCCTCTATAGGGCCCGTACTGAGCATGTGCTGTCTCTGATCAGTGCTGGCTTGTTGAGGAAAGCCTACTTTTCTTTCCCTTGTCAGCCTGAGGTTACATGCTGGCTTTTCCAGGTAAAACCACCCTTTCCTCATATTTTCTGTCCTACAAAAAAACACTATGTGCTTAGTCAGTAACACATGGATGTACTATACAGCGGGCCAAAAAATATGGACAATTAATCTACACTTAAAAATATATGAATTTTACATGGTTCGATATTTTATTATCTAATGCAAGGCTCTTTTTGGGACTGCTGTATGTTTAGTCTCATGTTGTGATCTGTTGATCAGTTTTTATGAGTTGTATTAGGTAATATACTGTTATGTGTTTATAGCATTCCTTTTGTATTGTTATATGGTTGTATTGAAGTTTTAGGTTCGCTGTTCCTATGATATTTATTTGACTCGTTGCATTTTATTCACGCCATCTTATATTCTCTCATGGGAAACCTGTATACCCTTGGGACATTTACGTTTAAACCTGTCAAAACATTATAGTTGGGGTTCTTTCCTAAAAGCTTATGCTTTTAGTATCCCAACATGCATACAACTTTGCAGACTCAACTCATATGTTCCAATAGCCAAAATGATTCAATATAATTTTAATAATTACAACCTGCACTTTAACACAGTGCACAATTAACTGCCTGAAATTTAAGTGCAGCTAATAACTCTAATGCTTTTTCAGATGATGTCAGTTCACCCAAACCCCATTATTTCCTCACACATCATGCAGTCCTTGCAGACCATTGCTCTGTCTGCTGCTCATCACATAGGTATGTTTGAAAGACCTCATAATGGCCAAATATGCTGTTCCCGTACAACTGATAAAGCACTAAAATTGACTGTTGTGTTATAGTTGAACACCAGAGCCAAAGTTTTAAAGTGTGGGTACCCTCTGTACGGGACATCACCCTGGTTTTCCTGAACATGGGGGTGTCATTTATCAGTCTGTTCCCTTTGGAGGCTCTGCAACCCCCTTTTACTGAGGGAGACCTTTTGTGAGTTTTTTACCTTTCAGTCTGCAGCATTATACTTCTGTACTAGTCATATGTCTTTGTCTTTCAGCATATGTCTTTCAGCTTCATAAAAATGCTAAGTTGGTATTTTAATGCATATGTATGTGTTGGCAGAGAGAGCTTTCAGCTGGAAGAAACCAGCCAAGACCGAGTGCTATCTGACATGAAAGACAATGCCACTTTACCAGTACATAATTTGGAGAGTGTTCTCAACGTAAGCTGAATATTTTAAGAATGATTTTGTCATGTATTGAGTAGTAGGTGATTTTTAATTTGTTTAATGATAATTTCGCTTTAAGTGCAATAGTAAGTGTCAATCTAATTTGTGCTGTATTTGTTTTTTATATATTTGTTCAGTACCTGTCCCTGTGTACTGCATTGTGTCCAAGAGCGTACACTGATGAGGAGCTGATGTTGCTTCTGGCGGTGGTGTGTAGAATTGGACTGGAGACTCATTTTCAGCTGCTACCAACTGGACACTTTAGCCTCCTGCTCCAGAATCTGCTCAAAAACATCACACACTGGGATGTACAGGTCAGAAAGAGGGTGTTCAGTATTCATATTACCCAAAAATGAACATTCTGTCATCATTACTCACCCTCATGTCATTCCAAACAATTATCATTTTTGGAGCCCAAAATTCAGTTATCATATAATGAGTGCATTCTACTACTTTTTTGTTCCACTGAAGAAAGTTAAAACAGAAAATAATTTATATTTTTAGGTGGACTACCCGTTAAGCATCAGTTTATAATTTTCTCACATTTAACACAGCTTTCTCTTTTTTTTCTATATGTAGATATCTAAAGCTTGTCAGACCCTGACTGATTTGTCAGAAGATCATCACAACCTCAGGAGACTCGTTTATCTTCTGCCAGATAGCAGTTGTGGAAAGTAAGTGAAAACCTGTAATGCATGTGAATCAACATTTTTTTTTTTTTTTTACTTTTAAATGCTTTCTGCAATTATTCATCTGCTATTTCTTCAACAGGCAATTAAAACGACACCTGAGTGTGTCTATCATCTCAAAGCTTTTGAATCACACCTGCACTTATAAACCCTCAGGGACAGAGTTTAAGGTGAGAATAATCCATAGAAAATTAGCGGCTTTTCAATGTTCAGACAGTAGAGTTCTATAGATGCTTTATGGTTTGTGATGAGTGCATTTATGCAGGTGTATCATCCACTGACTACACTTGGCTGGCCAAGCTTTTGTCAAACCACTTACATTTTTGAAGATTGGCACTGTGAAGATAAAAATGTATCTTTGTTTCTTTGGCTATTTTTATAGCTATCTGAGCTGAAACCTTTCTTACCTCAAATGCGTCCCTCATCCCTACTGAAAGGCCTCAGGTCTGCAAGGAGAGCAGAAGATTGTGATGACAATCTAGACCAACAAGTAAGCAGAACGTCGGCTGAGAGCTATTGTATCATTACGTTTTTAATATCCAAGAGTGATAACGTGAAACCACTTAGAGTTTAATAAGCTGATAAATGATCTTCTTTCATACAGGCATATTACCTCTGCTACAGCCTTTTGACTTTGACAAATGAAGCCTCCAATTTTGAGTTTTTACCCTCAGCTCAGAGAGTAAGTGTCCAATTTCTGTTTTTATATTATTGTATAGTAAGGGAGGAAATCTTCACAATTTAATTACATTTCAGGGAGTGACAATCCAATTCCAAAACAGTTCTCAGCGTATCTTAATTTAATGGTCTGACGTATGCTTTTTCATTCAGTAGAATTATTGATGATGGACTTAGAAATCAGATTTTTGTGGATCGATCCAGAAGAATCGAGATGCTCTGTGACTAGATTTTACAGTGCAATCTTAAAGAAGCAGTGTTAATGAATCAGTCACAGAAAGACCCTGTCAGTGGACACAGCCCCACTCTGTCTTCTGGTACCACTCATACCCCAGGGACCAATTATGAACATAACTAATTTTACTCTCTCTCAAGAGAAAGCAGTAGTTGTGTGAATTGAAGTGAGGGATGATTTTACTGACTAGAAGCGTGATGTTTTGGGGTAGGGAGGGCGGGGGGTGGGGGGTTGTTGGTTCAATATGCATCTTCTTTAGCATTGTTCATTTAATCTTGAATAAGATCATTGTCATTAATTTTCAGATTTTTTACAATATTCAGTGCTATACAGTATATGTCAATATTTTCTATGGAATGGCTTAAATTTTTTTTTTTAAATAAGAGGAACCATAATTTCAATAAAACAGTCATTGTTGCTAATTAGATTTAAAAATTTTAAATTTAAATTATATAAAAAAATTAAATAATATCAAGGTTGTTTTTCACTACATGGACTCAAGGGATAAATATTTATAATAATAGCTTTTGTTTATAAAATGCACTAATATTAAGTAAGGTAGGGTCATTATGGCAAAATAAACTCAACGAGACTTGTCAGGTCTTGTATCTGTCACGGTTGCACTACTGTGAGGAGTGCGGAACGAAGGAGATGAGGAGTACATCAATCAAGAGATTTTAATGAATATAAGAGAACCAGGAAAATACACGTAGCACTCGGACGAACAATACCGGACAAAGAACTCAAAACAGGAAACACTTTAAGTACACAACTTAATCAGGCAGGCAGACTAGGAGGCCATGGCGGAGCAGGCAGCTTGGGGCGCCATGGCGGAGCAGGCAGACTAGGAGGCCTTGGCGGAGCTGACAGTTCAGGAGGCCATGGCGGGGTAGGGAACTCAGGAGGCCATGGCGGATCAGGGGACTCAGGGAGCCATAGCAGAGCAGGGGACTCGGGGAGCCATGGCAGAGCAGGGGACTCGGGGAGCCATGGCAGAGCAGGCGGCTCGGGGAGCCATGGCGGAGCAGGCAGTTTAGAAGGCCATGGCGGAGCAGCCTCCGCCCCGGCCTCTACGGCTGGAGCCCTACTACCCCTCCCCCCCAAAAAAAATACTTGGGGACGATTACAGGCTCCGTGGGCCAGACATAGGAACATGAGCCCTCCATGGGCTAAACTCGGGAACAGGAGCCCTCACTGGGCTAAACTCGGGAACAGGAGCCCTCACTGGGCTAAACTCGGGAACAGGAGCCCTCCGTGGGCTAAACTCGGGAACAGGAGCCCTCCGTGGGCTAAACTCGGGAACAGGAGCCCTCCGTGGGCTAAACTCGGGAACAGGAGCCCTCCGTGGGCTAAACTCGGGAACAGGAGCCCTCCGTGGGCTAAACTCGGGAACAGGAGCCCTCCGTGGGCTAAACTCGGGAACAGGAGCCCTCCGTGGGCTAAACTCGGGAACAGGAGCCCTCACTGGGTTAAATTCAGGGACTGGGAAGTGCTTACGAGGAGCTGGCACTGGAGGGTGCTCTGGAGGAGCAGGCACAGCAAGGCGCTTTCGAGGAGCTGGCACTGGAGCGAGCTCTGTGGCTGGAGCCGACACTGGAGCGAACACTCGGGTGCGCTCTCGGGCGAGGAAGAGGGCCCTGAACCAGTCATTTCTCCTCTTCCTCCTCTTCTGATTACGGGTGAACTGGGCGGCTGGCGGGCTTGTCGTTGCGGTGGCCGGCGGGCTTGGGTCAGCAGCGGCCGGCTTGACTGACTCGGGAACGGCCGGCGGGAAAACAAAACACTTTCAAAACCAAAAAACAAACACGGGGAGAAGGGGCGCCGCTTACTGTCTCTGGTCCGGTATGGCAAGGAAGGCACATGGGGTGCAAAACAAGGAACAAAGTCTGACAGTGTCATCCCGAAGGGGCTTATTTTGCGATAATGACTGTCCATTTACAATTCTGAATTATGACAAAAACAAATCTTTGAATCAATTTTTGAATCAAACTGACCAATTCCTAATGTTGTTTTTGCTGCTTTAAATCCCAAGTGCACAACAAAATCTTTCTGTGACAGGTCTAATTTATTCCCTCAATATTGTATGAATAAAGTAAGGCACATCTGACTGTGCCTTAGTCTTTGTTTTGTCAGTATTGTTTTATATCACAATTGTATTACTTAATTAGACTAATTTGAGCCCTTTTTCACTTCCAGAATGATCTGCGGAGTCTTTCTTCTCAGCTGGAGAAGCATATTAAGTGTGACATAAGGGAGAGCGAGAAAATGCTGTATAGGAGCAAGGTGAAGAGCAGCTTCATTCTGTTCTCTGAGAATCCCTCAGATCCAGATTTTTATTAGCAGTGTGTTTCTTTTCTTCTGTAGGTGAAAGACTTTGTAGCAAGGATATACACCAAGTGGCAGGTGCTTCTCACACGAACGAGGCCTCAGGAGGTAATGTGAACGAATACAGTCAATTGAAGAATACAAGAATACTGTCAACTGTTGCTGATAAAAGCTGTTGTTACTTTGGGCTGGCTGTGAAGGCCACGTTTTGTTTACAAGTGTTTTCAGAATTTAAGCAGCATGAGTCCTTTACATTCATAACCTATGTATCTGCAGCTAAAAGGAAAGCATTGTGACTGAAAGCGCATGGGTAGAGTCAGCATGAAGAATTGGTGGAATTTTTTGAAGATCAAACAATTTGTTGTGTCATAGATGTCTTTTTTATAACAGTCATGCATTGCAAAAAAAGTTAATTGACCTATTGGTTTTCCCAAACCTGATGAGTATATTTGTATATAACACAAAAGGAAATTTTTGAAGAATTTCCTGGTCACTCTTTAAGCTAAAAAAAAAGCTTGCAAAAGCACCATAAAAGTACCATAGAAGTGGTCTATATGACTTTTGTGCTATTTTTCTGAGTCTCATGATAGCTTTGTTTTTTGTTAGTTGTTCACTGAAAATCTTGACGTGTTCAATGAATCAGTTGATCAGAAAATTTTCTGAGCGATTTCTTCATTGCATCTTGTTGATTTTTTTTGCTTCTTCACTCATGAACATAAACTCTAGAGCTAATGTCAAGATATTCAGTGAAATGTAATTGTACAACATCAAAAGATGTGCCGCAAAAGATGCAAATGCAGTGGTGAAGTGCCTTGTGTGTGATACTTGCTCAAAAAACGCAGTGCTTTTTAAAAAGTTAAAAGTTCAAGTTCAGTTTAAAAACTTGCCTTTTTCTTTCCACTACCTTGCGTCTCCCTTTTTAAATGCAAAAATGCATTCTGTGTGAATGCCTCCTTGAAATATAGTTTTCATATGTACTATTTTTACCATACTGTAAATTGCATGGAAATGTCGTTCTACCAAATTTCTCCTTTTGTGTTCCATTAAAGGGTCACACTTTAGTTTAGGGACTAATTCAGACTATTAACTAGTTTCTTACTAGCATGCATATTACTAGCAGATTGGCTGTTTATTAGTACTTATAGAGTGCATATTAATGCCTTATTCTGCATGACCATATTTTAGATCCCTTTTAGACCTTACTATTAATAAGTAGCAAATTAGGAGTTTATTGAGGCAAAAGCCATAGTTAATAGAGAGAATTGGTCCCCAAAGTGTGACCCATGAAAGTAAGTCATATGGGTTTGAAACATGAGGGTGAGTAAGTGATGACAGAATTTTCATTATTGGGTGAACTATGCTTCAGTAGGCCTCTTGTGTAATTCACAGGGAAAGCTGTATGATTACTGGAAGCCCCCACCAGAGGATGAGGTGTCCAGCAGTCCTCAGGGCCAGTCCTGCATCAAATCACAAGACACTTCAGAGAGTGCAGAAGAAACTCTGACCACAGAGTGGAGCAGTACAGAATCAGATGTAGATGCTGAGAGCAAAGAGGAAGAAGAGAACTTGCCGAAAGAGTGTGAGGAACCCCAACCTCTGGAGAATGAAGTGAAGATCGAACGAGATGAAGAAGATAGCGTGGAAGACATCAGTAATGAAGAGGAGGAAAATGATGAGCTAAAGCAACAGCTGATAGAGCTAGAGGACGATAGAAAGTTTGAACCAATATCTGATGAAGAGCTGTTTGAAACTCATGAAGACTTAGAGTGTGAGGATGATGATGATCTCATGAACAGAGAGGAGGAGCTTCTAAAAGATGAAGAGCCTCATGAAGAAAATAGAAAGCACATACCTGTAGAAGAAAACACTGAGGTGTTAGAGGAGCTCGAGGACTTGTTAAAGAGCTGAGATGAAAAAGGAAATGAAGGAATGGATTTGAGAGGGATGGATTTTGAGAAGTCTGAGAAAGAATAGAAACATTCTCAGGTCATTTCGAAAGAATTTTACACCACACCTTTATTGCCATCCATGCATATACAGTGGGTACGGAAAGTATTCAGACCCCCTTCAATTTTTCACTCTTTGTTATATTGCAGCTTTTCTGTCAATATGGGGTGCTGTGTGTACATTAATGAGGAAAAAAAATTAACTTAAATGATTTTAGCAAATGGCTGCAATATAACAAAGAGTGAAAAATTGAAGGGGGTCTGAATACTTTCCGTACCCACTGTACATTATGTGGGGTTTTGTGCATTCATTAATGTTCATAGAGTCTTTCAGTAACACATGTCATTCCTGTAGTTGTTTACAAATAGTTTATAATATATATTCTGTGTATGTGTTCTGCATTTGCCAGTTGTTCTTAATTTGTTTTTATTCTTCTTTTTTAAGATATAAGATGTCTTATTGAATGTTTGGCCTCCGATTCTCTGAAAATGAGACCATGAACATATTTTTATGAATATACATTTCATTAGTGAAAACTTGTAATATCTATATGGTTAATGTGCACACTGGTAGTTTTCAGGTTCAACTCTTTATGCTGCTGTCGAATCAATTTTATTTTTTATTTTGTTTTTACTTTAACTTTTGTTACTTAGCATCTTCATCCAGAAAATATTACTATAACAGCAAAAGCAAGGGCTTAAATAATAGTCAACATTTCTTGAGTACTTGAGTACAGAGTGAATATAGTGTATTTGTATTATTTTGGTGTTAGCAATCCAGTCTTCTTCAAAAAAGGCTAAATTTAGAGTGATGTTTGTCATAAGAATTATTTAAAAACTGATTTCTGTAGTTCTTAAAAAGAGAGAACATCCTTTGGTTATTTTTATGAAAATAAATACTTGGTCTGATAAACAGGTCTGTGTGTTTCCACACACTCCAGACTAGCCTGGTCTTGCAAGTGTTTACATCACAATCTTGCACTATTCATCTCTTCCAAATGGTGTTGGTAATTGAGAAAAATGTATGATTTTGAAAACTAAGGCATGCCACTTGCATGCATATTCACTGATGTGTATTCCTATTCTGATCTCTATTCTGGAATCAGCATATTTAACAATGAGCAAATTGCATGTTTTAACAGTGCTCTTTATTTATAATAATAATTGTGTAAGTGGGCTTTTCCAGTCGATAGCGAAGGAATGCGGTAGCCCAGATGGTTTCCCCTATAATGCAGTCCGTCAGCAGCGTGTTTGCAGTTCGAGCGCATTTGAGATGGAGAAGTGGCGCAGGAGGGCGTACAGTACCTGTGACGAGGATCTCGCGCACACACAGCACAGCGAACATCACAGCTGGGTTCATTTCGCGTCTCCGCTCTGTCTCACGTTACTTGGCTTTACACTAACTACTAGACGACTTTCCTGCGTTTTTGCACGATTTGTGACGGAAGACATTTCAGTAAGTAGACCACTTTGATACTGTACACGTTTTCTCATTCTTTTTGTGATATTTGTTTTCAGTGCACGTCTAAATAGTGAGCATCGCACGAAAGATAGTGAAGTTCTTTCTGACAGTTCAGTATGAACAAGTCTCATACTGTTGAGTGAAGACAACAAAAAGCTGAAATGATAATTAAAATGAAATTATAATTTTGCACAGACGAAACCTCAGCGTATATGGCAAGCCACTTTAACATTTATTCCTTAAAAATAACTTTTTGTTACTAGTACTTTAGAAATATGGCAAAGTAAACAAGTATCAGTTTGTGTAGTACTAGTATCTATTAAATTTCACTAGCGTATATTAAGTAGTATCTGATACAAGTAACTATTATTTTTTTATATAAATTTTTTTGGTAAATATTTGAATATTTACTTGTCTGTTCTAGTATTCCTAGTACTAATTGAAAAATATTTATTAGACACAAGCGTGTATTCCAGTTGTTACTAGAAATGTTTTATTTTTGCTAATAAGATTTTCCATTGAGCAACCACTAAATAGTGTGATAAAAACAAACACACACACACACACATACATACTAATAAAGTTTTAATAAATTTACTAGTAACTTTTGGGATAGATTAGAGTAACTATGAAATAAGTAATGGTACATAATAAATAGTTACTAGTAAAACTAAAATAGGTGCCAGCAACAATTGGAATAGTCAATGTCTGAACCACAGATTTGCAATTTGTTACCAGTAAAAATGCAATAGATACTTGTACTATTGGGATAGTAACTAGTGGTAGTTCAGTATTTTAAGTACTAGCAAATAGTTAGAAGTAACTAAAGAATACAAGTGAAACTATAGAAGGCACCAGCAAAACCTGCAAAACATACTAGTAGTAAGTGAAATGTCACACTAGTAACATACAAATAGGTGCTAGTTCATTTTTAGGAAATACATTTTAGAATGGCTTGCCATACAAAGTATAATCTTTCTTCTGTCAAAGACCAGTTCACTAGAAGTTAACCATTAAACTGTGTGAAAGGCCATATGACTGATAGGTATTTTAGGCTATTGATTCGTGATGAGAAAGACTGTGGACACGTCTGCATTTAATCAGATTAATGCGCAGAGTATTAGTCAGCTGACAGTGAGAATTTGCAGGGCAAATTTTTTCCTGGCACAAACACATTTAACTGTCCAAGTAAGATGACATCTGGAAGAAGAAAGTCTTTGGGTGACACACCAGTTACAGAATGTACCCGGTAGAAATAAAACACAAATTGAAATGTCTAACAATTGTTTCATAAATATGTGAATGCATTATTGATGCATAATTCCGAAAGTCTTATTTAGCTTTGCTGAATTGTTGCATATGGTATGCTACAAATATTAAAACTATTATTTACTAAATATATGCTCTCTCATTGTCATCAACAAAGTTTAAGGCTGCTCTAATGCTGCATTATTTACACAGATGCAAAGCAGCATCAGAGCCACATCTGATATTGTAGGGGCAAAGCTGCATATTTTACTATGACATTTATGTGATATTGTGTATTTAAACTGAATTTGGAGCCGATACCGAAAGAGTTGCTCAACTGTGTAAAGATACCTTTGTTGCATCCTGTCATATGATTTTTTTTTTCTCTGTTTACTGCATTTATAGTTCAACAGAATCTCATTTTTATTCTCAACGGAAAAAAGACAGTCCCTCATGTGATTCAGCATCCGGTCAATGACTCAGTGTACAATCAGCTACTATCAGTGCTTATCCTCAAGGTCCTATGCATGCAAGAATGACATTTTTGTGAAAGACGGCTTTCATAATTAAGCAATTCTCATTCATAAGCCAAACACTGATTATGTTGTTATACTGATATCTTAAGCTAACCTTATTAGCCTCTATGGAAGTTATTTATTTACTTTCTTTGTTCATTGCCTTGTGGTGGAATATTGATGGATCCTGTTTCATTGATGATGAACTAGATGGCGGATGTGCTGTTGAATTTCTGTGGAAGATTGTTAGGCTGATTTGTCTAGACTCTCAAAAGGCCTTGACCCGATACTCTGTTCTTGAATGTAATTAATTCAAGGTTTTATAAATGTTTAAATGTCAAAATTCTGGTTGTGTCAGTTAGTTCCTTTACTGTCCACAAGTGGAAAACACACCATAACAAGACCAACACAACAAAACAATTCTACACAAGAACAATAATAAAAATAGACTCAACATTTCACTTTAGCATACACAAACATATATACATTCCCGTATGTAAATATATATGCATATATATTAATATCCATGTCTCAGCATTTAGAATTCTAATTGCAGTTGGCACAAATGACATCTGATAGACATTCATAGTTGTTCGAGGTTGTTGAAAGCATCACCTTGACATCCTTCATTCACATACTCTGCAGGTCCTTAATGCATGGAATATAGCATGTCGCTGTCATTCGATTACATCCATGAAATCATGATATGAATTTAGTGTGCTTGTCGGTGCCGCTGTCTCTCTTTTGAGGCGGCTGACCCTTAAACTCACATGTAAATGAGCTCAAAGTGACTGACAGCTGGTTAAAGATGCATGAAGGGTCTCATGCAGTCACTGTTCAGCTGAGCTGCTTGCAGAAACAGAGCTATCGTTTTCTCTCTGCAGCTGCTCAATTCTTGTGACTTGATTCAGTCCATCTTACAGCCTGATACCATGAATCCTGTTGTACAACTACAGCTCAATGATTTATTTTTAAATCAACTCGCAGCTGATCTTCCATTGTCTGGAATTGGCTTTAGCCCATACGGCTCTGAAAGCAGAGTAAGGAATAGCAGTATGTGTTTGACTGATCTCTTTAGGGGCTCTCTGATGTGACCACTGTGCTGATGTCGCTGTGGGCGCCAATTGATATGCTTTCATTTGCTTTCTTATGGTTTTAGCGCTATGAGATTTTCCACTGGGAAGATTTGGCCTCTCATGTGTCTGACCTATTCTTTCTTTCTTTCTAGTTCTCATTCTCTCTAGGAGATCTGAATTGGCTAAATAATAATACTGCTGATGGTTGTGTAGTTATAATCCTATAATGGATTTCTTACATAAACCTCCTACCCCTTAAACTGGATTCTAGTTTTGCACCAATCTATTATTCAGTCCGTGCTGTTCTATAAGCAGTTCAGTTAAGTTATTTGATTCCTGAAACTTTCAGTGATATTTAATACCATATACTGTCATATCTGCTAATGCTTTGTTGACATAAAACTCCTCCAGGGGCTGCACAGACCTTTCAAAGCATATTTTAGTGATGAAAAATCACTCTCCTATTAAAACCAATAAGGATTTTTTTGTCTGTGATTAAATTTGTCAAAATGATTTGAGCAACATGGTAAGTGCAAAAAGGAATTATCATATATAGTCTAAAAGGTCTAAAAGTGCTGAAAGCACATTCAAAATCAGAATTAATCTTAGAAATAAACAATGTTTTAGGATTTTGAAATATTTTAAACAATTTCATTATGTAGAATTAAGAAATATGTAAGATTTGCTCTATTTTTAGGTCACTAATCAAATGTAAGAAAATGTGTGATACTGACCGTGCTAACAGTGACGTTGTAATGAATTTATAAATATATTACAGTATGCAAACTG